CAACTCTTCACCTTGTACTTGTATCGGCACCTTTTTGTATAACATCGAGCTCTTAAGCTCTTCACCGTTTGCTACTCTCACCCCAAAAGGAATGACCCGGTCGTAGGGACTTCTAGTTTCACGTTGAAGTCCTCGTTGATGAAATTAAGGGTCGACCCACTATCGACCAATACGTTCACCTTTTGCCCCAAGATCTTGGCATCAAACCTCATTACCTTAGGTCCTTGCTTTCTTTTGATCATATGCATCATCTCCAATTGGGGATTTAAATATAATTTCCTCCCTTCATCGTGCTCTTCCTCGAGTTCGGGCCCGTCCACTATGGGCTCGTCGTCCTCAGAGTCGACCATTTGGATCAGGTAGGTCTGCTTGCAACGATGGCCCGGAGTAAACTTCTCTTCGCACTTGAAACATACACTTTTCTCTCGCCTCTTTCGCATCTCCTCGTAGGATAAGTTCCTCACCGCTGGTGGTCGCGGCCTGAAATTGCCAGGCGGTCCGTTGCTCGTGTCTCGGGTAAGGTTGGGCTCGCTAGGTATTACTCGTTGCGGATCGATGAAACGCGCGTCCGCCCGTCCCCTGCGAGTAGCGGCGAAGTGATTGTCGCGGCATTGGGCGACCTCCATGGCTGCATGCATCGAGTCGGGCCGCTCCAATCGAACCTCCGCGACTAAGTCATACTTGAGGCCGCCGATAAAGGCCCCGACCAATGCGGTCTCAGGCCAACCTCTTACGCGGCATGTTAGCCTCTCGAACTCCTTCAAGTAATCGCGCAGGCTGCCGGTTTGACATATGCGCGAGAGCGCCTCGTCATAGTTGTGGTAGTCGGAAGTCCCAAAACGCGTGAGTAACTCGCGCTCGAAATCAGCCCACTTGAGACTCGCTACCGGTTGCGATAGATGCTCGTGAGCCATTGCCACCACACATTGGCCTCGCCGTCTAAGTTGTAGGCCGCATATCGCACACGGTCATAGATGATATAGCATCTTAAGTATGGCTCGTGGATGTTAAGGGAGAGCTCATTCGGTCCATCAGAGAAAGGAGCTCTCTCAGTCGACCTGGGGATTAATGGAGGAGAACTTGGTGTTTAAGGTTAGTATGGAAACTCGGTATGTTGAGAGGAGCTCGGATAGAGGTGGCCGAGCTACTGTTGGAGAGCCAAGAATCCTGTGAATGCGGGATTCCGTAAAGGATCAACTTGAAGAGGTTGACTGTGAAAGGGGTCTGTAGGCATGGGGATTAGGAAAGGAGGAGATTGTCACCAAAGGGACTCTATCACAACTAGAAGTCCTACAATTTGGGGACTCTCGCCTATAAGAGGACAGGTTCTTTTAATTTTACACACAGATATATCTCGCAATAATATATATTCCTCTCCGAGAAAACACTTGGCTAACTTGAGCGTCAGAGTGTTTGCGCTGGGACCACCCCCGGCGTGTTGCAGGTATTGGCGGATGGAGATACTCAACCTGGCAAAGAGGAAGACGAACGGTTCGAAGAAAATTGGTTTAACAAATTGGCGCCGTCTGTGGGGAACAAATTCGGTTTCTACCAAGAAGAGCGGCGGTTTGTTTCTTCATAATTTCATTTTTTGGATTTGAGTTAGGTGTCAACAACTGGGTCGGGAAAAATGGCGGATAATTCGAAGAAGAACTTAAGAAAAGACATGGACGATGCATGGGTTCAGAGGGCATATGGGACTGGGCCGCCACCGGGATGGTCCCCATCCCCTGTCACACAAAAGGAGACGCTATTAGCACCCGCTGCGACCCCGACCCCAACTCCGGATGTGCAGGGTCAGGAACTGGACTCGGGCTCAGGAAGTAAGAATGGTAAGGAGGGAGAACCAGGTGACACGACTGGTGGAGAGGCGAATCAGATCCCTGCCAAAACCACAAAGCAGGAAGAACAGCGCAATAATCTAGAGTTGGTGGAGGGCGGCAATCCCCCGAAAAATCCTGCGGCGACAGATCAGGTAATACAAATGACGAGGTCAGACCTGGACAAAATCATAGCCGATGCGATAGGACGGGCTCAGGAGGTGGATCGGCGGTCTCATGAATCACCAAAGCAGCCCATACACCAGCAGACTCACCAGCGTGAGAGAAGAGACGAGGAGGGTGATAGGTTGGCAACCTCTCGACCAATGGTGGTGCAGCAAGAAGGACTAACACTGGAAAGGCTTGCAGAACAGATGCACGAATTACAAGCCAAGGTGCAAGGAAGAAGGACGTCGAGGTCGCGCGGGCACCCCTTTGCGGAAGAAGTCCCGGAGGGTGACTTGCCGAATAACTTTAGAGAACTCAGCTTGGCCTATGATGGGTCGACAGACCCGACCAGGCATTTGAGATCATTCGATAATATCGCGGTGTTACACCGGTATAGCGACGCGGTTAGTTGTAGGGCGTTCTTAACCACGTTAAAGGGCTCGGTTAGTTGGCTCCCGGGATGATAGACAACTTCGAGAGATTCAGTTCGTTGTTTCTAAATCAATTTGCCAGCGCCAAGAAGCACGAAAAAACATATATATCGTTGATTAACATGCAACAAAAGGAAGGCGAGACCCTACGATAGTATGTGGCGCGCTATACCAAAGAGTGTGTGGAGGTCCCAGATGCTGTGGAGGAAATAAAGTGTAACGCCCCACTTTTATTGCCGAAAATCAGAATAAAATTTTCGAAATTTATTACCAAAACTCTTGAGGCGCTACGTACTTTTCATAACAACTTCAATACTTATCCAATTTTCAAAACTCAATCAATCATCAATATCAATCATCAGTCATCAATAATGCAATAATCAATATTACCCAAATCGGGTTCCATACAGTATTCATATGTCTCAAGGAACATCTCCTTATCATTATTCAATCATAAAATCCAAAAATTCATAAAAGCAATATTATTCCAAATTCATAAATGTCGAAGCATAAACAATAATAGGATCAGTCTTAATGACCGACTACCACTCGCTTATCCCCGCAGTCGCACCTGCCACGCTTAACCTGAAACGTGAATTTCAGGTGGGGATGAGCACAGTTAGAAAAAATAGTGCTCACCACTATGCAATAAACATTATTCACAATTATGAAACAATTATCCATAATCAATAAGGTATGGTCTCATCATGTATACGAAACAATCAATTATCCCAATCTCCCATCAATCATTTCAATAATAGACTCATGTGCACACTTATAGCAATAGACTACTGCTGACTATATATCAAATGTCCTCCGATCCTACATCGAGTGCCAGCCAGTAGGAGTATCCCCCGTCGGCCGAGCACCGCCCTGGTCTCACAACAGGGAACAGACCGAGCACAGCCCTGGTCTCATACCTCCGACCGAGCACAACCCTGGTCTCATACCTCCGACCAAGCACAACCCTGGTCCTACAGGTGTAGAGAACCCCACGGGTTTTGTTTGATAAATACGGGATAACCATTCGACGCCCGGTACAGCTCACATCGAAGGCTACATGGTTCACATGCATACTTTGATCATACCATAAGTAAAACAGTAATAACATTTAACGCATAGCAATTTTTTGAATTAAACCCACCTGGTCGCAAAAAGGAGATAATCATGTAAGCACGATTAGGCTATGAGCTCGGCTCATCAAACACCTACATTAAGTCCAACATCTATTCTGACTTAAACGAAAAAATCACAATCATACTTAGTCGAACTTGATTCAACTAAGTTTTTCGTGAAGTCCTGTGGACGTTGGAACACTTAGACTCGACTCTAAGACTCAACCAATTACACATGGGAGTTCACATAATCCAAACACAAACATTGATCAAGTCAACACTTAAAGAACAAATGGCGAGTCGATTTACAATTTTTATTTTAAAAACCACATATACAAATATACTAGTTTTTAATCACAAAATAAGTTATCAGGTTATCATTTCATTTTAACTCTAAAATTTTAACCAAAATTTCACCTACCAGAGTTGAGCAAGATCACCAATTTTCAGCCCCAAACTCAAAGCACATGATTTTATAAAATTCGAGCAAGTTTTTCAACAAAAACGAGTCTAAATTAAAAACCTAAGATAATGAACGATTCAGGTCTTTATATTTTTATCTAAGAAACTTCTGCATATCATCAGCAACATGTAAAAATATCAGACTTAAAAACTTAGCATGTGAATTTATAAAATTAAAATAACATTCAGCAAATTTTTAAATTTACAACATAACAGAACCTAAATGAACTCTAAAATTTCTCATATTTTACTAGCATGAGAATACACATAAACCATGCACTTTATTCAAGTTTCATAATTTTCCAGCATCAGACCAATTTGTAACAATTAAAACAATTTCTTGCAGAAACATAAAATAATTTATTTACCTAAGCTAACACAATCCAAAAATTATGAACATTTAACACAAGCTCTAAACAGACAGGAGAACATCATATTCGAATTTCAGAAATTTTCGATTACCATACAATTTATTATGCAATTAACATGAAATTGAACAAAAATCATTTCAATTTATTAAAATAGCTACAAACCTCCCAAAATCATGAAAGTTTTACGCGACATGCATAATCACCACAGAACATCACATATAAAATTTCAAAGCATTCAGAGCAGCATGCGATTTATCATGATTTAAATACGATTCAACAGCAATTACGGTTTCAAAAATCCAAATGAGACTCGAAACACATGGGATTTGTCCGAGGCCTTCGCCATAAGGCCACGGACTCGATAAGGTTCCATAATCCACAGCACATACACGAATTTAACTAGGGTTTCAAAATGATCTCAAGTTAAACAATAAATTACCACGTAAACGCAAAATATGAACCCTAAATAACGCATTATCATAAACGCTCTAAAATGTGAATAACCGAAAGGGAATTCAAGTTTCGGTACTGTTCTCGAAAAAAGGTACGATAGACGATCAATGGAAAGGGCCGAACAGGATCGAACGGAACGTACGCGTGCACCGATGGGGCTCGACAACTACGTTTGGCTCGTCAACGAGAACATGGTGAAGGGGGCTGTTCCGGCTCACTTGGGACGCCGAAAAACGATCGCGGGGGTGCCGACGGACAGCGAGAACTTTCTGGTGGTGCTTGATCGAAACGAGGAGGCTTGCGGTGGCGGCTAACGACCCGACGGAGGGTGATGTTGCGAATAAAGAACGCGGCAGCGATGGCTTGCGATAGACAGCAGCCGGGACTGGTACTTCTCGTCGTGGAGCTGCTGCGGTCGTTGACAGCGATGGGGAGCTTCTCGCCGGGAGGAAAGGGTCGCCGAGGCTTGATGATTGACGATCGGGAGAGATTGAGATTTTTTCTTTTCCCTCTTGTGCAATGAATGAAAACTAGAGAGAGAGATATGAGAGTCTGCGCGATTGGGAGATGAGAGAGGAAGGGTTGCGGCGTGAGAGATTTATGAGGAGGTGAGGGTTTACGAGTGTACATATACTTATATATATGTAAGAAAAAAAAATAATATATTTACTTTAGCTAGGGAACTAAATTGATATGGAGAGGAATGGAATAATTTCCCACACAATAAAGGATTAAGGGCGTGACTTTGGGCTGAAAAATGTCGGCTCTTAGGCTAATAAAATGCTCCACAAGCATCACATAAAATACTTAGGAGAATTTGATTTTTAATCAAATCAAATGGAGCTAAAATATATTTAACAAAGGATGGCTTCTATAACTCAAAATGGCCGAAGTATATAGCTAAATGGCACTCGAAAAAAAATAAGGCTCATAATGGTCTCGAAAAAAAATAATAAGAGACCAAGAATGATAGAGTTTACGAAACCGAAAATAGACTTAAAATGATGGGCAACCGGTAAACCCTATTTAAATATATAGTTTATAATACAACCAATTTAATATAAAATAATAATGATAATAATAATACAAATAAGCACATAATATTAATAACAGTTAAACAAATTGACATTTAATAACAATTGACAAATAAATAATAATTATACAATTAGACATTTAATCACAATTTAACATAAATAATGTTAGACATTCAATAATAATAATGATAATAATAATAATAATAATAATAATAATAATAATAATAATAAAAAAAAAAAATTATAATAGTAACAATAATAATAATAATGATAAATAATTCTCAAAAATTCAATAATTAAACGGGGCATTACAATCTATCCTCCTTAAAATATTTTCTTCCGCGGAAATGCGAAAGAACACACATCAAAAGGAAACGATAGACTCGCACAGGGATTCCCAATCACGAGGTCCGACATCATTCTCCGGAACTCGATTATGTTCCCATGAGTCTATCGCCTTATACTCGAAAGGCATGTACTCACATACAGGAACAAATCCGACTCGCCCATGCTCATATGTTTACCTTCTTGCTCGGGAGGGTGATCAGTCCTGCCCGAGCTCAGGCGTACATCCTCTTGCAAGGGACCCAGTTCGGTTTAGCCTATACTCATGAGTATCAACGACTTGCCACAGTACACAAGACCCCAGCAGGTCGTTCGGTGTATTGTCAGCGTACTACGACTAACTCACCATCAAGGTGGACACGTGACGCCAAGTTTCAGTCTCGTATTCGAGTCACACTACTAACCTGCTCACGATTTCATCACAGACCGTGCGTCTCCATCCGAGACCACAATACAGTACCACATACATAAAGCATGACACCAACAAGCTCACACTCTCATGTCATCGACTCCATGAGTCGAACGCAACCCTTATGCACAAACATAAGGCTTGACCGAAAGCAACACGACTTTCCAAATTTGCCGACCTGAGAAGTTCTCAAGTAAAGCATGGGGACTCATCGACTACACTCCTTAATCAGAAATCATCGATCAGGATTTACACGCATTTAATGGAACTTGGAACTGGGGGTTCAAGGTTTGAACAAAAGGGTTTTAAATGGATAACCAAGTATTCCAGCACGAAACGGTTTCAAGAGTTCAGTAAAAACATCGATGGTTGGCCGTACACGTTGGCCTGGAGAGTTTGTGCGTACGGTGATGGCGGCTGCAGTTCGCATGCGAGTCAATGGTCGGCAGCGCGCCAGCCTCCCGTCTCTCAGCACGGTCGTGCGTGCTCAACCACCACTTCACGTGGCTACACCCAGCCAGGGCCGGCGTTCGGGTCAAGGTTCCACAAGGGTTTACAATCTAAGACAATCCACCGAAACAGAATTCGTTTCACCAAATTCGAAGATTTTTGGGTAAATCAAACAATATATATATAATAGTCATTCCATGCAAGGAAAGAAAAGAAGAGCGAAATTTCTAAGTTACAAAAATTGAATAACCAAGAGGAATCTCCAAAACACAATTCAAACTTGTCTTGTGAGCAAAAAAAAAATAAACAAAGTTTGCCAGAAGCTAAGAGTGTTGAAAATCTAATAAGAGAAGGGACAAATAATCCTCTCATGTCCGACATTCGGTCAAGCTACTGCCGTGGCTGCTGAATTTGTTGCTGATGCAGCGGTGGAAGTTGCTGCTGCTGCTGGAACGGCTGCTGCCTCTTGGGTTCAGGGCCGTGGCTGCTATTTATCGAATGTTGTTCATGAAATTATATTTATATTTTTGGTCGCGATATCTACTTAAATTATGGGTTTAAGTACTCAATCGTTTTATTTTAAAACGTTCGTCGTTCGGCAATTTCGGTCTAATCACGTAAATCGGATCTAACCCGTTCGAATATTGGATTAGTACGATTTTATTTATTGGCATTTTAATTTTATTATTTCTATGCCTTGGTTATGAGGATATATATTATATTATTGAGTGAATAATATAATTATGTATGTCGTTCGATCTATTCTATTTTTCGACCGCTGTTCGAATTTTCGGTTTAATCGCGTAAGCCGAAATTAAATCCGTTTTAATGTACTTTTGAACCATTGTGACCCGAACATCAAACCGATCTGACCAGCCCTCATAATGTGGTCTTTCGACCCTTATGACCAGTCAAACCGGTCCTAGTCGTAGAACCGAAACTGTCCTTTTATGTATTTTACTTGGGCATACTTTGAATTATTTTGTTTTTTTCTTTTGAAATTCAAATTTTAGCTAAGTCATGGAAACTGATTTCTTGGCTAAATAACTCCAGCCTTATTTCCACCAATCATCTCCCCATAGGCTCGGTCAAATGACCTTTCTTGGAGCCTAATTAAGGCTTATTATGGTATGTGATAACTCCTTTGATTCCCCACCAATACACTTTCCATTCGCGCCTCATAACTCTCCATATCACACACACCTTGAGTTTGAAAAATCAGATTTCTCTCCTCTCGTTTATCATCACAAAACACACCAGCAAACCCTTGCAAGCCATCACCCTCCTTCACCATCACCCTCGCTTTCCGGTCCTCGCACCCCGGCAGCGCACCACGCGTCGCACCAACACCCGGCGAACCCCTCCTCGCGCAGCGCATCCCCGACGAATGTTCCATGAGCCACGACCATCCGAGCAGCAACTATCAAGCCCTCCCCTCCGCTGCTCGTAGACCTGGCCGTTCAAGTACACGAAGCCCCGCCGCCGAGCGCCCGTGTCCAGCCTTGCCCCGTTTTCTCGTCTCGCCTTCGTAGTGCAGTAGTGGGTGGCTTACTCTGGACTTATTTTGTGATATATGATGTGTATATGTGTTGTCCATGCTTGAATTATTTGAGAGTGTTGATATATGTTATTATCATATTTGTTTTAATATCAAAATGATTATATTGTTTATTATTTTTATTTTCAAGTATTGGATCTTTAGGGTTTAATCTGAAACCCATATGATCTTATGCGTACTTGTGGAAATCTTGTGAATTTTGGAACATATGAAAGTCCTGGTGATAATGCTTTTGACCTTGTGTCATTTGGAGTTCTAGAAATAGAGTTATGAATTTTTGAATGTAGTGTTGCTGCTATTACTTGTGAAATTCGTGATAAATTGATTTATTGTCCGTAAATGCTGAAATATTAATACGTTGTCCCTCTGATGTATCTTGTCTTTGTATATAAATTTTATAATTTTTGGGATCCATTTGCTAGGGTAAATAATTATTTGTAGGTTGCTGCAGAATCTTGAATAAATCATGAAAAATCGACCCCTTATTGAAAATGGTCGAATTTTAGTTTACGGGCTCATTTTATGGTGTGTTATGTGATATAAAAATCTCAGATTTTATTTATTTCATTTTGATGAGTTTTTAATGAAATCATGATTTCTTCTTAATCTTGCTATAAATCCTATAAATTGTGTATTTAATGTTTAGAACTAAAATTTTTATATGTTGATCCTCACATGTTGTAGTTGTTTGTGTAAAAATTTCAAGACTATCGTTCATTAGGTTAGACTTTAAATTAATACTTGTTTTTGTTGTAATATTGTTTTAATTGTATAAAATTGCATGTTTATGGGTTATGACTGAAATTTGGTGAAGTGTATGTATTCAGGGACATGTATCATGTGTTAAATTTTCAAAACAAAATTCGTCCATTTGCCTGTTCAACTAGAAAATGTGTTTTACTTGTCAAATTTTTCAAATATTGGTTGAATATGCTAACATTTGAATTTTTACATGAATTTTAATATATGAGGTCCCCTTGGCATGTTTTATAAGTGTTTTGAAATTCATGTTAAATGGCTGAGAATATTATGAGTTAGTCTTTTCATGTGTTTTTCCTTTTTGGATTGAGTCGAGTCGAATGTTCCATAATTCCACGAGAATTTTCCACGAGCTACTTAGTCGACGGATTCGACTAAGTTTGTGTGATCGTTGGATTAGTTGTAATCGAGAGTTATCTTGATTTCGTGTAGGTGTTCCGAGGTGTTGACCTCAAATCCTACCTTTCGAGTCTTGTATTGTGATTTTATCGTTGCTTTCAGGTGGGTACATTTACGTTGTATCTATAATTATCGCACTTGTTATTTTGTATAAATGTTTGTCTCAATAGATTTTGTATGCGTGAGAACCCTAGTCTAGGTGTCCCATTGATAGTGCCTTTGATGAAATGCATAAGCAATGAGACGTCACCTGCCTGTTGTACCTGGGAGGAGGACGCCCTGATCCTTGTGTTTTTTGGTGGGTAAAAACAACTCCACTGTCTCCTTGAAAGGATCTCTTAGCCGTTGTAGCCAGGGTGGGAAGGTTTCCAGTTACATCCTTGTCGATGTCTGGTCGGACGGTTTGTTGTATGTACATAAGAGGTTTGCGATAGGGCCAAGTAGGGAGTTAGACCTGGATTCTATGCATACATTAATTATCGTTTTGAATCTTTATACGGGATATACCGTGCGATAATGGTGAGCATAATGGTTTGCTCACACCCATTACTTTTCTCCTTGTGTAGCGCCCCGTTTATTCGAGGATTATTTGAGAACTATTTATGATTTATTTATTTTATTATTATTATTATGATTAGTATTATTATTGATGTTATTAATTGTCTAAATGTCTAATTGTTTAAATGCCAATTATTATTAATATTATTAATGTGTGTAATTATAAATAAATATTTAACCGGCTATTTTATTTTTCGATCGTACCAAGATATTTTCGGGCTAAGTCGAGCCCGTAAAATAGCAATTAAGAAAGCCCGAGAGTCGATTTATTTTTCTCGAACCCGCGCCCGCAAACCAGCCCGAAAATCTTGTGAACCCACGAGCCCGTCTAGCGAATCGGTGCCCAGCCCATAAACCAGCCCAATTTTTCTCCTCCTATGCGTGTGTGGGCGAGAGTGTGTGCGTGTGTGAGTTTTGAGAAGGAAGAAAAGAAAAACCCTACGCTACTATTTATCTTGCTCGATCAAATAACTCTCCCGCAGCCTTTTCTCTCATCATCTACACTCCTCAGCAATCTCTCTCCCTCTCGTGTTTTTCGAACGACGACCATCTCCCCTCATCATCACCATCGTCACTCCTCCGCCACGAACAGAACCAGGTCCCTCAATCGATCTCCATTGCCGCGAACTAGCCCGGCGAGCCTTCCTCCGCCGCGCAGCAACCTCTGACGGCACCACGTCACCACCACTGTGAGCCCTCCGTCGCTACCAGCTGCTCCACCTCCGGCGAAGCCCTCGACTACGAGCACCCCTGTCCGCTACTCTTTCGTCGCGAGCCCTCCACCATGACCAACAGCCCTCCTCCGCTCGCGACTACCAGCAAGCCGGCGAACTCCCCTCCTCCGGCGACCCCAACAGCAATCCCAGCAAGCTCCGTCGAGTTCATCCTCCGTCGCGCAGCAACCTCCGACAGCAGCTACGCCGCGAATCGAGCCCTCCTCCGACGAGTCTTCAGCCGCGACTGCTCCTCTTCCCTCGGCGAGCCGCGTGAAACCGTCGAGCCGTTGCCGCTGCCGTGAGCCGCCTCCGACGTGCCGTCGTCTCGTTTTCGAACGCATATCCCGAGAACGGTACTTAGGCTCGAACCCCGTTCAATTTCGTGATATGCGATAATTTGACTTGTTATTAATTATCAAATCGAAAATACGTAACTATTCAAGTGAAATCACAAGTTGTTATTGTCCTATCATGTTTAATAAGACCGAGTTGGACCTCGGACAATAAGTTTGTGATTTATCGAGTGTTTAAGTCTTAAATTATGGATATCGAGGCTTGCCTAATGTGTAAATTATGTGATTTCATGGCTATGTTGTTATTCGAATGTTTCGAGTTGTTTACGGCATGGAAACTCAATTTTTCGAGCTTCAGTTATGCTCAGTTTTGTCGACCAAGAAGCTGTTTCTTGGACAAGTGTTCTTCATGAGTTTTGTAGTTCTCTGAGTTATGTTTTTGTGAATTTTGGAATCTTGTGATTTGGTGTTGAAATGAATTTTACGTGATTATTCAAATTCAGACAAGCACGCTGTTTTTTTTAGACTCAGACAGAAACCTAGCCCTTAATTCACTGCTGTTTTAGATGGTCTTAACCTATCTGAATGAAAATGTGTTCTTCATGACAAATGTATTATTTGTTGTTAGCGGCCTGTGCGAATTTGAATTATGCAATTTGGAGTTTTTGTTGATTTTATACGATTTTTCTAAGTAGTATTTACCCCCAGTTTTTATGTAACCAGGACTGTGTTTGTGTATTTAATGTGTGCTCTGTTTTGATAACCCAAACATGCTCATGTGAAAAAGTTCTCTTCATAACAATTGTATAATTCAATGTTTAGATTCTGTAGGTTTTGAATTTGTATAAATTGGAGTTGTGTAGCTTGAGTTGTTGCCATTTTACTAAAGTGCTATCTATTCAAAAAGTAGTTCTCTGAACTGTTTTGTGAACTGAATATTTACTACTTACACTCATTGATAATGTCATATTGCCAATGGAGTCTTCAGAAAACTTATAGGAAATTGAGTTAGCTACCTAAGGGTTTTGAAGTTCAGTAATCATGTTTGTATCTCCTGTTATCTTGGAATTGCTGAAGTGCTGTAAGTTGTTCTTTTCCTTTCCGGACTGTAGCTATGTTTTGTGTTGTTGTTAATTTATCTTTGTAGCGATGTCAGAATTTGCTAACGTTGTCTTCACAAAAATTGTAGCTTTATTTCTTACCTTTCTATGAGTACCAGATTCATATTTTTATCACGACTATAGCTCGAGTTATCCTCAAAATACTGCCATCCTGTTTGAATGTTTTTTACTGCACCCTTATGTGAATGTTTTTGTTGATTTATCATGTGGATAATGACCTCGTCTGATTCAAGTTGTTCTTGAGAGGTTTAGATCTATATCTTAGGAATCACATGCCACTGGTTTCATGTTATTTCGACTTATGTGCTGCTAGATGTGACCATTTGAAAATCGCTGCGCATATCATGTTTTACAAAATAACTAGTTGATTTCTGAAAATGACACGCACCATCGATATGCTCGATTATATGACCTAAGTGATTTATTTCTTGATTTATGTAGTATGTATGATCCATGAATGCCTTAGTTGAGTATATTAAGCAAGCCAAGATATCCAACAACCGAAAAGACTTAAACATAAAAATGTTTTCAAAGTATGCGAGCATGGCGAAGCCAAGCGAGCTAGTTTTCAAAGTTTTTAAGACTAGAGAGTATAAGTTAAGCCTTGATAAGGTTCTAATACAAGTCCCAACGAATGTAGGTAATTGAGGAGTCAAGTCTCGACCCACGCCCTTGCTTGTCGAGTTATATTAAATCCGAAAATCCAGGTGGGTTAGTTATTCTAAAATATCTATGCATATGTATTTTATATGTGTTAAACCGGTATGATCTATGTATGCATATGATCATGTAGCCTATCAATGTGAGCTTGATGGCCATCGGTACCGTTGTCCCCGTCGATGTAGTACGGTTACCCTTACGAGGTAAATCTCCTTAAGACCTTCAGATAAGGTCGTGTCCTTACGTGGCACGCCTCCCGTGTTATAGATATGGCACGGCTGAGCGTAGATGTGCACATGAGTGAGCCATAGCTATGGCAAGAGTCATAGACA